CTCCTTATGTTTGTATGAAGTGTTTGGAGAGGAAAATCCATATTTTTCTATAGTTCCACAGCCAACAAATAGAATTAAGTTTCAATGCGCTAGTAATTCAACTTCTCAGAATCTGGTCTAAGAAAATTGTCATAATTTTAGCAAGAGACTTACGCACAAATATTTTATTCACAAAAGTATTTGGAACAATGAAAACATGGTAGCAATCTAAATAACCAGCTGTAGCAAAATAGCTTAAATGATGTCATTCATACTATAAGATACTATTTATACAGGGTGGGGCAAAAGAAGATTTACAGTTGTCTGTATGGAAAATAATACAGTAATTAATAAATAATAAAACAAGAATAAACTCTGTAATACAACTGAAGACCTACTTTTGCCCCACCCTGTATTTAAAAATGATGTTGAAGGATATTTAGTGACATAGAAAAACACTATGCAATATTAAATTTAAGGTATATGCAAAATTCACATGGGTTTTCACCCCTCTTATGTAATAATAGATGTTGGTTTATGGGTATGAAGAAGAATTAAAGGAAATAAAATACCAGCTACAGTTTATCCATGGACTATGGGTTTATTAGTGATTTTTATTTTCTTGTTTGTTGTAGTCTTGCATCGCGCACATTACTTACAATTAAAATGTTTTATTTTTATTAGTAGAAGATGGTAAACTAAAGGAGTGGATAAGTAAGAATTTTACCTGAATTCCTCTTTAACCCTGTCTCAGTGCATTGAGAATTGGCCATTTGAGTCATCAAATGAGAAGCAGGTGCTCAAATGTGAAAGTAATTGAATTTCACACAACATTTTCCATGGGGCAATTGATCCAGGAGTGCTTAAAAACATGCCTTTGGAAAATTTGTTCCAAAGACACTTTAAATCTGTGTATTAGTACAGACTAGTATTTCAACAACTATGTACTAGTATATATTGTCTAACATATATTCAACATTATGCTATTTCTTGTAAAAAAATAGAAGCACATAAAATGGTCTCTAGGTTCAAGAAAGTTCAAGTTCTAAAGGAGAAGAAAAAGATGTCAAATAAAACCATTGGCACATAATACAATAATTATGGTAATTCTGTGCTAAATAACATAGTAGTGTGTATACTATTAATATTGAAGTTCAGAAAAGGGAATTGTGTAAATCTTAAAGTTAACTAAAGTAAGTACTATGCAGTCTCATAGGTATATACTTTTATTTATTTAAATTTATTTTTATTTTAATTAATTAATTTAAATTTTCTTTTTTATTTCATTTTATTTATTTTCCCCATCACCATTTGTCCCCTCTATGCCCTCTCCATCTCCATCCACCGCCTCTTACCCTTGGTAATCACCATACTGTGGTCCATACTTTTAATAATTTTCCCTGCTATGTCTCCTTGTAGGAAATCTTTCAGTTTCTATCTGAACTACAGATGGATGGATAGATAGGTAAGAGGACTTTCAGAAGAAGTACATCTTAACCAAGTGTGAGCTAAATTCTTCAAGAAGCAGAATGGCTAATGTATCCTGTTCAAGTCGGTACCTTCCAAAAGAGCATTAAACCAGCAGTCAAGAGACTTGGTTTTGTTGACTCAGCTCTGCAGGGCACACAAGGACCCTTATTTATGTTCTCTAAAACTATTTTCTTATGTGTGACCCAAGGGGATCATATGATTGGCAAGGACCTTCCAACTTTAATACTTTTACTAAGTCCTAAAGTTGCACAAGTACTGGAATACCTGCTGTAGAAAGAAAAGTGAGAGGTGGAATCTTCAGATCAGATTTTTCCTGCATTTTTCATCTCTTCTTTCCCTTTGCCACCAGTGCCTCACTCCGGAAAGTGGTCTCCAGCACATTTTCCACTTTCTCATCTCCTATTCAATTCCATCTACTTGAAATGTTAGCTGTACCCCAAATGTCCTCTCAAAACTTTCTAATTGCCCAATCCTGTGGCATTGCTTCTTGATAATATGAATTCTAATTGTCATTTCCTGTTTTGAAATTTTTATTGTTGAAAATATTACAGATGTCCCCCATTTGCCCCCTTTTGGCCTCTCAACTGGGCTCTTGCCCCACCCCAGGCCTTCACTGCACTATGGTCACTATTGTCTATGTCATGGTGTCATTTCCTTTTTTGTGTGTTCTTGAGCAACTTACATTTCTTCTTTGACCTTTGTTTCGCCATCTGAAACAATAGAAATAACACACCTCACGAATCTATTATGTTTTATTCCAATTGAGTGCTAACACATATATAAAGTGTTTGGAACTTGGTAAATTCTAAAAAAAATGACAATCCTTTCATTCTCTTGGTTTCTGAGATGCATATGTTTTTTATACTTCTGTTTGCTTCATAATTATCCTTATGGTTGATTAATTTACCTTTTCTCTTAACCTAAATATGAATGTTCTGTGTTACTGTTAGTGGTCTTCTATTATTACAGTTTCTTGTCTCATTCTGCACCTCTACAGAGCCAAGCCAGATATTCCAGCAAGCCCACACTTCCAAATATCTATTGGAAACTTCATTTGGACATCCAATACCACTCTATAAAACCAGTATAATGGTATCTCAAGCTAAATATTTCACCAATGTCCTTGTTGCATACCCATACTATATCAATACCTTTTCTGACTTTACTCTTTCTCTTGATATTATCACTATTAAACTGTCTATATTATTTAATTCCTCCCTTGGCCCCTAATCCATACCCAATAAGCAACCTCATACTCTGATGTTTTCTTGGGATGGAGTGTATTATAGGAATGATCACAGGTAATTCATTTGTCTTTAAGCTCTGGGTCTAACATTTATTAGTTACATAATTATAGTGTCCTTGAGAAAAATACATGATGTCTTTGAGTATCAGTTTTCTCATCTGTGAAAATTAAATAATAGCCTCTTATTTCATGGGCTTCTTGCTAGTGATGTGAATATTATTTTTGAACTAACAAATAATTATAGATCCGTGAATAGGTAGGTAGATAATTTCCAATACTTTTTCCTGCCCCCATCGTAGTTCAGATACTACCAATAGATCAATCAATTAAGATGTATCTATCTAGCCTATTGATAAACCCTCCTATCCAGTCTCTTTGTCTCTATACTTTCTTTGTCAATTACCAAAAATATCATATTATTTTTATCAATTTAAAATAGTACTTTTAGTAGCTTCTCATTGTTTATGAAATGAAGTCCAAACTCATTCTCATTCATATTTATTGCCCATCTACTCTATATGAGGCATCATGCAGAATAGGATTGGAGCTAAGATTCAAATTCCCTGCTTAACTCTAAAACCCATAGATATCACACTGCTTTACAAGAGTGTACAGTAATATGATATTTAAAATATTATTACCCATTATCAGGAATTTTATTTGAACCAATATTAAGAGTTTGTGAGTGCTGAAAATGAAGTAGGTAGCCTTCAACTGTTCTTTCCTAATATGGTCATTTGATTGTAGAGTAACACAGTCCCTTTCACATTTCACGGTTCAGAGAATAATAGTATTTCATCTTGACATGTGGAAGTGTCATAAACCTGAGTAAATGGGAGGATTTAACTGTCAATCATAAAACTAATTGTAGTAGACAATATTAGGTGACCTTTGCCTGTCCTTGTAAAATCAGTGATGCTTGCCCCAAAAACTGTGTCATAAGTCTGTAAACTAATTACATTCCAACTTGAAATAGCACACAAACATTATTACATACAACTAAAAGTTAAATTATAGGGTTGTTTGAATTGCCTTTGTAGAATCTCTGGCAGTGTTTTGCTGGTCCTGCTGATTACTGGTTCTGGGCAGAAGCTTCTCTAAAGTCTGCAAATTAAAACAAACCACCAAATTGTATATATTATTGTGTTTGGTATTGAGCAGCTGCAAGAACAAAATAATATAAATGAAATGTGTGTCCCAGTTTTTGTCTCCTAGGAAGGTAGCTGACAAAGCCACACCATGATTAAGTATCTATCAATATATGTTAGTGACATTTTAGGTATAAAATTTGTCAGATGTAAGGAAGAAACTGAGAATAACTTACCTTCTTGGCCTGAGTTGGTGGCATGTGGTCTCAGAAAAGATGACACTTGAAAGGAAGGTACATGTCCACTATGAAAGGTGTTGGGAAACTGAAAGGGAAACATAATTCTGTACATATAGATATTTTAATTTTCTCTAGATTCATTAATTGTCAAGTTTGTATTTATACATTGTTTAATAACTATGATTCATTTAAATTCCAACATACGCAGATTCATATAAACTATTAAACTATTAAGGATATTGATAGATTGAAATGGAAGAATTGGAGTTCATTTAATTTCTTGAGAATTCAGTTCTTGTGAAATTATCTTGTAGCCTGGCAGTGGACAGATTTGGAAAGATCTAGAAAGTCCTTATGAATCATGCCCTTCTCATTCAACTTCATTCTATATAAAATAACATGAAAATTTTTGTTTCACCTTTTTTCTCTATAAGAGTGAAACCATAGGTTGTGGAATAAGAGTGAATCTACCACCCAATGCAATAATTTTCAATGTAAAGAACCCAAGGAAGATTTAGCGTTAGGGTAACTGGTTGATAGGGTCATGTCGGTATTTAACAATAGAACTAGTCCCAGGAAACAGACTTCAGATTCATAGCCCACAGGGTCCTTGCTAAGAGTCTCAGCATTTTAGGATTACCAAACAGAAACCTTACTTTTGAATAATATCAAAGCAGTATATATTTGATGATTCAATCAATAGTTGTCACAGTGTAACTGACTTTAAAAACAGGCTTACACAATGCTCAAGTGCATTGATTTAGTTTACTATTAGTATGCATTTCCTAGCTGAGAAACCCAGGATATAAATAAAGTCTTTTATTTTTATTGAGTTCTCAGGCTGAAATGGTTAATCACACTCTACATTTCTAAAGCCTGGTAGGGAATACCTTTGCTACCACCTCCATGCCTCTACTGAGTTTAGCTCCTTTACTCTTTGGAGTCATTGATTTCAAGCCTGCTCTCCCTGGAGAAACAGAGCCTCAACTGGAGGTTGAAAGGAATGAGTTCAGGTTCATGGGTTTTAGGCCCCAGTTACTGCAGTCAGTGGTGTCTTCTACCATGGAGTAGTGCTCATGGAGGTACAACTTGAAATGGAGAACCCTTCTGCTTCAAGAGGCTCCCTGTTCAGTTTCTAATCTGGAGTTGAAAGAAGAGCCTTTTCTCTCTGTCTTCCAACTCTCATCATTCCTTACATGTGTGCCCATACACACACATTCACTCTTTTTGTCTCTCTTGCTCTTAGTATTTCACTGTATCTCTCTTTCTGGATGTCTCTCTTCAGGATAGAAATGATAATTCTTTCATTTCTCAGTTATCTCAAGGTCATATCACCCAACCCCTGCATTGCCACAAAACCACAAGGAAAAGAAGTTTCTGAGAAATGCAAAATTTCCTAGGCTTTCCACAGCATCAGTTTTTTTTTGTTTGTTTTATTTCTTAATTTAATCAACCTAGAGTTTAGCTAAGCATGCAAAAGGCTGTTGGTAGTAATATAAGTATCATCCAGGGCTGTGCTATCTAATATGGTAGCTATAAGTTGTGCCTACTAAGCATGTGAAATGTGGCCAGTGCAATGTATTGAAATAACATTTTGGATATATTGGGTTGAAAATAATATTTAATTACTAATAAAGAATATTATTAAATAATTTCACATATTTTTACTTTCTAATGTTGCTACTAGGAAGAATAAAATTATACATGTGCCTCATATTATATATTTTTTTACTTTTAAAATACCTTGTTATAAACTATAGTCACCATGTTTTACATTAGATACTCAGACCTCATTCATCTTAGAGCTGAAAGTCTATACCCTTTTACCAAACTCTCTTTTTCCCCCAGCCCTTGGCAACCATTTTTTAATTCTGTTTCTATTAAGTTTGACCTTTTAAAAAATAAGATTCCATATATAAGTGATACCATGTAACATTTATTTCTCACACTATATTTAGATTGGACAGCACTGATCTAAGTTTTTTTAATAATAGATTCATACATTTTAAAGATGCTTATGGGCATTTAAACAAAATATAGCTACTTTGCACCTAGAAAACTTTTCAAAATATTTGTTGTGCTGTATTTTCTGAATTGAGTCCTAAACTTTTCTTCAGCTATGTCTAATCCTCTGCTGAATCCATGCATTGAGCTTTTTAAAAATATCTCCGTGAGTATATATTTCTTTGCAGATATTCTACAGTATTTGATTCTTGGTTTATAAATCCCTGCTCAAATATTACCTTATTTTTGAGACCTTCATTGATTATCCTATATAAAATAGTACTCCTACAAA